AAGGAGAGGGAGGGGGGAATCCATCAAATTTCGATGAGTTCCGATCCGATTCCTACCGAACATATCTGTTTTTCTACATGCAGCATTACAGATTCCAACAAACAGTAATTGCTGAAGTGCCCAGAAAATACTAACAATCTGCTACCGAATTTTCTCATCCAAACGGAATTCAACGTTCCGACAAACAAGAAGAAGGCAAGATGCACAAACGCGCCACAATGACAATCCCACGATTAAACTAGGATCCGACATTCCAAATGGCGTAAAACCCAGATATCGCAGGAACAAAAAAAAACTTACAGGTTAGAAACTTCGAGGGGAAAGTCCGAGAAAATCCACGCCGCTCGGATGAATCGAAGAGGAGTAACGACGAATCTCGCCACTAAAAAAACCTATCTGTTTCGTTAATTTTATCGGGAAAATAATTGGGGTTAGGTCCGTCAAGGACTCTCCAAGAAAGATTCCAAGTCAATAATTTTCTTGGGGAAATTTCCCGAGAGAAGAAAATTGTTGTTTGGATAACCAGAAAATTAATTCCGGCATGGCCAGGGACTGTGATTTGATTAAATAGGTGAGGGAGGGAGAAACGAGAGCTGGCTGTTACGTAATTAACAGATCATCTAAAGGGTAATTTTGGTATTCCATTAATTAGATCTTGCCCCTCGCGTTTGCGTGGATGATGATGGTTCCAGGTTTGAACGGGCTTTGTTTGGTCACACACACCAGAAATATTTTAATAAACACGAACTTAGAGATATAAATGATTTTGGACCGAATTCATACACATAATTATACGGATATAAACAAATATTGGCTGTGATTTATAAATCATATATGATAATATGATGTAAGACCACTATCTATACATGCACTTATTTATTTGTAGAAATGCTAAACGTATGTATGGAAATGCCCTTTCTATTTCCAAATTAACGAAAAGATTTAAAGAAAAAAAAACTGCATATGTTAATTAGAGATAGATCAACCCTAAAAACGAATTAAAATCAAATCAAATTTCAGAATATTTATATCTAAATTAAATTAAAAGAATGTAGTGCAAAACTTAGCATACAAATAAATCGTTTTTTAAGAAAAATTGTGGGTTGACCCAAAATATGTTAACTTCTTCGATCGTGTTTATAAATATTTAATTGAGAATAATTAAATCTTGGAAGTGAACAACGGATAAATATAAGCATATTACGGTCCAAGAGGATATATGTGGGATATTCTGTTTCTTTTCTTTCCCCCGTTGATAGTTGGTTATATATTTCTCGCAGGTATGACCTTAAACTTCCACGAACTTTATAAAAAAAAAAACAATATAATATTTAAAGGCAATGCATGGCTTACATTTTTATACCAAAAAAACATGCAATGCATGGTCGGTTGTAGAATTATTCGGTTTTCGATTAGAATATATTTGAATTTGATTATTTCGCATTGTAGAAAAATTATAATTATTTGATCCGATTCTATTCTATTTCTTTCCGTATTCAATTCGAATTCAGTTTAAAATTCAGGTTTTCAATTTTTTTATTGGATTAGATTTATTTTAAATTTGAAAATCATAATTATTCGGTTTTTTGTGTCAAACAACTGATTATTCAAATACTACGGAGAAAAAAATTCAATTTTTGTTTATAGTTGTTTTTTTCTTGGCACGGCAAATGCGAGTTGCGAGGGCAGGTGCGACGCACGTGTTACACATTCGGCCACCCACCACCAACCCCTACGCTCTCTTTTGCCTTTTCGTTACGGTCGATGAAATTAAATCCAATCCAGTACCAGACAAGTTCCTATGATAAACATTATATATATAATATATACAAAATACTATATTTTATATCTCATGAGCAACGATACAGCTAGAGGTGCCCGATAATATGATCTGCAGATATTCAGTGCAAAAATCGGTTATCCAAAGATATCAGCTTCAGCTATCCAAACAAGCCATTTAACTATTTAATTTATTATACGTTTATAAAAATATTTAATTTATCAAATTTTTCAATTAGGATGATTATTTCGGTTAGTAACCGAATATTCAAATCGAATTACACCGATTCAGTATTTTAAAATAATCCGGTTTGGTTCGATTGAATAAACGTATTTAACCAAATGATTTGTAAGTCTTAGTTTTGATTTTAAATTTTTGTTATTATCGACTTTAATAACTAAATCAAACTCTTTTATAACCCAGCCGAAATAAATGTTATGTTATAGTTTTTTTTGGTTAAAACCGAACCGAGCGGAACTTTTTATTATTATTTATATATCCATTCAAAATTCTTATCTGGTTTTAACTTTGTATAAATAGATATATATATATATATATATATATATATATATATTTGTGTAATGTCGTATATTTTATTCAGCTATGCCTTTTTGGGCCGAATATTTATATTACCAGTAAACCGGAAGAATTATATTTTCATATAAATTCGTAAATTCCTACGGATAAGGGGAGAGAAGACCCCCGTTTCTGCCTCCACAAATGTTTTCCTCTGTCGCGTTGTCCACAGCCTCCATGAGCGTGGTGGTCTCCGCCTCGAAGCGGCCAAAGGCCAAGAAAGCTTCGCCGGAAGCCAGGAAGCCTCCGAGCTCCTACGGATTCGGCGGCAGAGCCACGACGGAGCCGACATGGAAATGCGTCGATGGTTGCGGTGCCTGCTGCAAGCTTGCAAAGGACTTCGCTTTTGCTACTCCGGAGGAAATCTTCGAAAACCCTAACGATGTCGAGGTTCGTCGATTCGTGTGCCCACAATATGTTCGACGAAAGTCCTCTGTCGCTGTTATTTCGCTATGTTTTCTGTGCTATGTCCTTCGATTCTGTTTCAGATTCCATTGTTTATAAATCTTTCGTCTTTTTGGAATTTGAAGCTTTATAGAAGCATGATCGGAAAGGATGGATGGTGTATACATTACGACAAAGCTACTCGCAAGTGTTCTATATATCGTGGTAAACCTTCTTATCCAACTCGAAATCAGACACAACCTGGAATAAGATTACAGTTTCCTGTTGGGACATCATTTTTTCCTGGAAAATTTGTTTCAAACCCAAATCTGGTGTCAAGCTTGAGTTCTATCAGAGGTTAATCATTATGAAGGATGTTCTCATTCACTTGCTCCTTTCTTTTCCTTGCGTTCAGATCGTCCATACTTCTGCAGGGTTCAACCTGACGTTTTCCAGTCTCTCTATGGTATTGAAGAGAAGAAATTCAACAAGGAGGCTTGTAGGTATGCATTTGATCAGTGATCATACCCAGTTTCTCAATTTCTCGGCAAAAGTGTATTCAACCTAAGGTGAAATTAGTTTCTGAATCATCTCAGTCAACAGCAATTCTAACTTCTTACCTGGTGTGTGATAGATAGGAACAAGAGTTCAAAACCCTTTGTCTGTCTGAACGTATCAGAAGTAGTTAGATATATGTTTTTGGTTTATGGTTAAACGAGATCCGGTTCGCTTGACTCTAGTCTACCTTTTGATAGGAAATTGTTCATGGCTTTACCTTGCAGCTGCTGCGTGGATACCATTAAGGCAATCTATGGTCCTGATTCCATAGAACTCGATAATTTTAACCGAGCCATAAGAAGTTCAGATTCGAGTTAAGGATCAGGCAAATCTGAAACTCAGGTACTGATGCATTTCGTTTTCTTGATGATACCATGAAAATGCATTCGGAATAGACTGCTTTGTGTATCTGCCCTTGGAAATTCTGCCATATCATGCAGCCAACATTCTCAGAAACTTGAGGGTTATTTCCACATATATCTAAAGTATATGGGGAGAAAGCTAAGCAATAATATTGAGCCTGATGGCTGATACCAAATCATTTCCAAGATGAATCAAACTTCTCCATTTGTCAGTAATCTTCTCTAATAAACAGCGAAATTCCTAGAAAAACCAAACACCTGCCGTGCAGTATCACTGTCCAATCTTTACCACTTTCATTCTCATCATCTTCATATCACAGTTTCAAGTCCAAGTTCTTCGAGTTCATCTTCTCCTTCCTCGAACAACTTCATAAACCGGGCTTGGTCTTGTTGCCTCTTCTTCCGCTGTGAATATTTGATTACGGAAATGATTCCAATCAAAATTACCGTTGCAGCTGCAACGCTTACTGCAATCACAATCACAATCACAAGCTTTATTTTGTTCCCTTCCTCCTCCTGGGACCCTGAACTTGACGTGGCCTTCGAACCTACTACACATATTACATGATCATGTTACCTTAGCCTTGTTTGGAAACTACTACACATGTAACGATGTTTATGTTATAGATTCATATGTCTCTCATCCTTGAATTTGTTTTTCTTTTTTCTACCTCTTCTAGGGACAGACGGGTAAAATGCAATGCAAGACTTTGTGGAGTGACTCACCGGAAGAGAACTGGGTGCACCCGTGACATGAAAACGTAGCATTCATCTCGTTATCTTTGACGTGAACGTAAACTTGGTCGGGGGAGAAGTCTGAGGGACAGAACTCCCATTCATCCAACTGATTGTCTGAAATGACACTGCCTTCCTCGTAGAAGCCGCATCTCTTACACTTTTCGCTGTGGATTTCAGTTAGAGGCTGTAAAAAAACCAATGTCAGTGAGATCTGTCCTTCAACAATACCGGAATGAGGGAATTTCAAGTCCGGGAGACGGACTAATAATAACCTGCCACGATTCTTCGGGGCGGAAGGTGTACAAGACATGGGTGGTGGTGACATCGGGCAAAACGGTCTTGTTCTCTCCTTTGCACTGGAAATAAATGGTGGGTTTGAGTCTGAACCACTCGTGCTTTGTGAATATTTCGATCGAGTCCAGTGTCACGTCCTGTCCTTCCACCCACCCTCCTCCTGCACAACACAAGACCCAGACCCAGACATGGAATCTTTAGGACAGAAAGCCAATTCAGACAAGGAAAGTGCTTGTTTTGGATAATTTTACCAGGAATCCAGATGTGGGTTAGGAGCCAGAAGAGAAGATTTCTCCACTTCAATGGATTTCGATTCTTCATCCTTTGGTTTTTTTTCCCAAGAAGGAGAGGAAGGGGAAATGCGATGGAGAAGGTATAAATAACATCGCATTTAAAGCTCAGCCTCATCCGTAACGTTCATCCTATCAAGAGAAATATATCGTCGGAAGTTATGTTTCACTTTTCCTTGTATCGGCCGTGTGTTTGGGAAATCTTCAAATCCATCTTCTTCTTTTTTTTTTTTTTTTTTTTTTTTTTGGCTCGTGATTTAAAAACCCACTTCTTAAATTAGAATTTTTCCCAAAAATAAAAATAAAACAAAAAAGTTGAGAAATTCTTTCTTTTATACTTCCAAATTCCAAGACAAAATAGAGCGTTGTCTCTCGTTTTTTCACAATTCCTACAAACTCTCCTAATCTCATCCGTACCGTACGGACAGTACGTACGATTCGAACAAAGTAAAGTCTAAACGTGCAAATAATAGCTAATAATAATATATTAATAAGCCACCGAAAGACAAGGGGAAAAATTTGCTTATATACTACATTATTACATATATCAATGTGGATGCATATGGTTATAACCATATGATTTGTTTCCAATCATCAAATGGGCCGTGTTTCATCGTACAGTTAATGGGCTTGGGCCTTTGGATAACACTTAAGATGATGAAACGACAGCGTTTTGAAAGTGGCTGACTATGGCTGTTTTTTGACGATCGTCTTTTTTTTTTTTTGGTAAGGATGACGATCGTCTTCTTCGCTGGAAGCCTGAAACTCCTGCAGAGGAGTAAACCCTAGCATTTCGCATTCAGAGGGGAGTCTCCTACGCAATGCGTTCACGTCGATATCCAATCTCCGGCTGTTGGATACGCTCTCCGGTCTTCCACCTCTTCGGTGACTGTACGAATGCAGGAAGTGTTTTTCTACCTCCGGAAGGCTCGGCGGTCAACGGATTTTTCAGTTATTCGAGAACAGGTTCATCTCTTTCTCTGTAATTTCCACGAGAATTTCTCCATTTCTGGGGCAAAACCTTATCTGGGAGTGTCGGTTTTATCTCGGAGTTTGAATTGCGATAAATACTTGTATATAGAAGGAAAGTATGCATTTTTTTTTAATAGTCTTTACCATTCTATGGGAAAATGTGGGGTTTCTCAAGACGTACCCTAATGACCGATGGATTGAACTTGCTCGATGGTTGCAACTTGACATCCGATGATGTTAAATTCTGCTTTACGCATGGAGAATTTGCGCCTTTTTGTAACGCAAATCTTAGCTTAGCTGATCTTCAGCCTGAACTGCTAGAATTGTTCATTTGGCTGGTGGGAACTATGTTCGGGAATCTCACATGTTTTTGTCCTTCCCTGTGTGAGATATGTCACGGATTATGTTTGGAGTTAGTTCTGTTATGATGTTTGTTTGTATATGTTTGGACAATGGCTCAGCTTTTGATGTGGCTTTCATTTTCCTGGTATGTCAGGTATGTGTAGTTCCCTTCCCGGTCCTCCCATGATAACGTGCTGCAGTCAATTGTGAAGAGATGAACATTACACAAATTAGAGATGGCAACAATTTGAAGAAGCATAAAGATAATTACTTATGCATCTTATTACAATTATATTTGCGGTGCGGGACCTTCTTTCACCCTATTTGGGGGTAGTGGTGAGTCTATTTGATATTTGTAAATCTTTTTGGTGATTGTTTTTCAAAAATGTGATTGGTTTTGGGTTATGTATGATCAAGGCTCATGGTTTGCTCAGGGTGTGCTGCATGAAATTCCTCAGAATGATCTTATTGATGACATAGATAGCTTCCTGTCTTGCTGTGACTGTTATCCATCCTTCATCAAGTTCTCCACGAGGTCAGTTGTTAGTCTTCACGTTTTGTTTCCCATTGTTGTCTTTTTTTGTGGTGTTTGTTTATATAGATTATCTGTAATATCATCATCATAATTCCGGATTCAGTAATGTCCTCTTTGGTTTCATCTAGAGTCAGGGTTAGGGTGGTTGTAAGCTTTAAAAAACTTTTCTTGAATGGAACTAGATTTACCAAACTAGGATCCAATATCTGCTCAAAGATATGGTCCAAGTCCACAGTGATTTGAAATGAGCACTTGCTCCAAACAAATAAGGAATAATGATGAAAAGATAGTTCCAATAACCACCATTTCAGGAAATTCATGTTTGTTTCTCAATTTATCTAGATAACTGTGACTGGTTAATGACTACTGTACGCGATTTTCGCACATCCTGCTCGGTTCTCCAAATCTGAGGATCTGCTTCATAACATTTAGAATCAATCAATTCTGGATTACTGTTAACAAAGATGTAAAGCTATTGCATTGTCTTCCTTACCATGTAGGCCTGGAATTCCAGATACTGTTAGGTTGGCTCTTGTGTGTATTCCATTAAATTTAGGTTCCTTTCTATATTCTTCTGTGTGCATGCGAAGAAGGAAACCTCATAGTAGAAAATCCGAGGCAGATTTGGTTGCTTTTTCTGGGATTAAGCAGTTGACCTGATAGATTCTTGCATTTACCATCATGGTTAAAATGACGAAACTGGGTGATGCAGAAAATGCGATTTGTTTATGCAGAAGTCGATGAACAATAACTGATAGCATCTCCTCCTTTATCGATGTTATGTTACAGAGAAGCATACAAGAAAGGATGTTACCTTTTTGGGTTTCTTCCCTTTGTATCTCAGCTGAAGCTGATATCTTTGGATGACCATGTTGTCATCTATCTTTTAAAATGAGGGTCTAAGAAGAGCCACACTTTTTCCATTGGAGACAGAATCAAAGTAAGTATTTTTTTTCCACTTTCTTTTTCTCTAGTGGGCGATCTTTGCTTTCAGCCGAAGCATCCTGATAAGATGTCTCCACAAGTTTCATAGATTGCATAGTGTGTCTGATCGATCTAGGAATCATGAAAGATGCTTTGCTTTACCCTTTTAGGAGTAATGCTTTATGTTCTGATATGCTTGTTCACTTGAGTGCATCAAACACGTTTGCTTATTAGGTCGTGTAGTGTTAGCAAATCATGTAAAAAGATAGGGGAGGATCATATCAGATGTGAGATGAATTAGATAAGACCCTCTTGGTAGATCACCTCAATGTAAGAGATCGATCTCTTCGAGTTAGATCATCGCACAAGACGAGATTTGATCTCTATGATCAGATTGGTAAAGTAGTTCACATGTTACACTGTCTGTGAAGACTTTTATGAGGGAATTCTTTTGGGGATTGAGGACATGAGAGTATGTGAAAAAGGTGGACAATGCAAAAGGGGACAAATGCATGGAGACTAGCGCGTTAGAATGTGAGTCATGTCTTCATTGTCCATCTAGTTTTATCATTTGTTAAAGGTCTATATATATACACACACACACACATATATATATATATATATATTACACTGTTCTCGAAGGGAACAAAAGCAAGACACAAAAAATAAAGTCAAGAAGAAGCCATGGATGGGGGGGCCAAACCCTTTCTTTCATCTTCGCACCATCTTCTTCTTGTTTTCTTGCTTTTGTTTGATCAGACACTGAAGATCTTTTGCCTAATAACCAAACATGAACTTGTAATTCTTATCTCATATATTTGGTTCAGATGATAGGAATCGACATCTCGGTTCGGTATGATTATACTTTTGTGGGTTTGGTGTATGATTTTGTGTTTTGAAATGGACAAATTGCTTGTGGACAAGATATTACTATGAAGAGATTACATGAACATTGTCTATCCAAATCTAACCCTACTCCACAAACATCTGCATGGTCCCCCATATGGATGGTCTGAATTTCCATATCATCCCAATTTAGTTGGTAAAAATATTGGGTTTGATTGGAATCCAATGACTACCCTTCATCATTTTGATTGGAACTAAGTTAGATTTACATTGGATATTAAAGAAATTATGAGATTTTATATATGGTAATCTATGAATTTTCATCTAAAAGAAAGTACCCATATCTATGATTTTATTCCATTGCTTTTGTAACACCGAAACTTTTGGTGGAGTAAACACTTGTATAATATAAAGTCCAAGCTTGGGTCGATGATAATTATGCCTGTCACCAACAATGCTAAAAGGGAGACTTTTGCCAACTCTTCACCTTCATTACACTGCCTTTATTCTCCAATTTTATTTTATCATATTTATTATGTATTACATAATATTAATCAATGAAAGCAAAGCCGACAATCATCTCTTTTTGCACCACACCCTTTTATTATTATTTTTTTATATAACAATAAAGAAAAAATCACGCTACTAGTAAAAAAAAAAAAAAGTCTCCAATTATTTAACATGTATATATATATACACACACAATCTTTACACAAGCGTATATATACAATGACACCCCCACAAATCTCCATTCTCATCGAAAGTGAAAGTGCCGAAAAAAAAATAAGAGGAAGAACCCAACATGGAAGAAGAAACAATAACGATAATGGCGACACTCTCAACACTCTCAAATCAAACCCTCACAAATCTCACACAATCAATCGTCACTCTCTCTCACCACCACCGCCGCCGTCTCTCCGCCGTACTTTCTTCTCCG